AACCTCGTTAAATCTCTGTGTTCTTCTGGATTTGTGTCGTTCTAGTTTTTCTTCGCCCTTATTTTCTCAACAAGTGGTATCAGAGCCAATGTTCGAGGGCAAGGAAGAAAATTTTTATCGGTGCAAGAAGAAGTTCGGGCGGCATATCTTGCACGACGCAGGCGCAAGTTTCAGATTTTCGCACGAAGGACAATTCCGCCGCAGAGGTTTCGTGCGAAGGGCTTTGGATCGGGTGCAGGAGAACGAAGTTCAGGTGTTTTGCAGGAGTTCGCGGTGTTCGGAAGGCTGTTCGGGCAATCACGCGACCGAAGGAAGCGGCTCGGGAGAAGGAATCACGGGAGCAAGCGGAGCGAAAGGTGAGAGGATCGCGGAAATTTCGACTTCGGCGGCTCGGCGACAAGCTGCGATCCGGCAGGAGGAGGCAGCAGAGGCGGAAGGCTTCGCGCGCAGACTGGAAAGGAAGGCTCCCGCGCGAGATCTGGCAGACAAGGAAAGGAGCGGGCGGAGACATAAAGAAGGAAAGGAATCCCTTCGGCTTCCCATTTTTGGCTCCGCTGAGAAAGGAATCCCTTCGGCTGCTGAGGGGAGTAATTGGAAAGAAATTTATTTAAAAAATTATGTTTGTTAAAATCATTTAATTAAGGAAAACTTAATTAAAGAAATTTAATTAAGTAAAATTCTTTAATTATTTAAAAGAATTTGTGGTAGAATCAAAGTACAATTTCTGACTCAACAATGAATCTTGTGGAGAAGAAAATTTGGAAGTATTTTCTGAATTTCATTGGCTGGAGAAAGAAAATCTTGGCTACGGCGCAGAAGAATATAAAATTTTGCGGATTATTCGCAAGGCAGACGGGCTCGCGGGAACGAACAGGTGCGAAGCAGTTTGGATAAACGAATGCGGCAGTTTGACGAGTTATGCTTCAGGAAGTTTGCGATAGAGGCGGCGTCGCGACTTCGAGGCGCAACAGTTCATGAACCTTCGCGGCATTAGGCGAGGTGGAGTTAACTAACAGGAGTTCGTGTGCAGTTACCGCGAACAGGAGCGTTTGCGAACAGAGGAGTTTGGTGGTGTTCGACCAGCGGAGTTTGCAAGTTCGTCGCAAGAGGTGTTGCGACAAGTGGAGTTCGGTAGGGTGCTGGCGAGCGAGCAGGCACGATTATTCGCGAACAGTGGTTTCGCGGAGGTATTTTGCGAAGGGTTTCGCTCACGGGACAGCAGTTTTGCCGAGGTGCTGGCACGAACAAGAAAAGTGCTTCAACCCACATTTGTGCATAAGAAACTCCATGATATTTTTCTCCTAAGGGGCTGGATATTCGCAAGGTGGAGATTTTCTCCTAAGGGGCAGAATGTTCGCAAGGTGGAGATATTTCTCCTAAGGGGCTGCATATTCGCAAGGTGAAGATTTTCTCCTAAAGGACTGGATATTCGCAAGGTGGAGATTTTCTCCTAAAGGG